AATAACATAACAAATTAAACTTTTTGCAATACATTTTGTGTTATTAAAAAAATATATGGTGATATTTAGCAAGTCAGAGTAATAGCACATTTCGTTAAAAACAATAGATAGAAAGAAACAAGTTTGATAATGATTCAATACGTAATATGACTTCCTTTTGCATTTAATAATAGCAGCTATTCTTTGAGATAAAGATTTATATAATTTTTAATTATTTTTGGCTCAGTTCTTCCTATTCCTCCACAATATATTTTTTTAATTTATTAATATTCGCGTCTTTCATTCTAGTATACGACACTCGACAATTTCCCTCGATAATTTTCTACAATATTTAAGTCCGGAGACGGTTAACCATCCGAAAACACGAATTTCTTTATTTATACTGTTTTATTGCTTTCGGGATATGCATGGCTGCGTTACAATATTGAAAAATATACTCATTTCCAGAAATTCGTGTCACATACGTGCTAATTTGGTCGCAATCATTTTAATATACTATTTACTATTTAATTTTTTTATAAATGTTATTTCCATCTTACCGTGTTACCAATACCTCCTCAAATCATTATATCGTCGTTTCTTTGAGTCGACGAATCAGAAGTTGTTACTCCTTTCGTAAATCATGATAATATGTAATATTAGAGGCCATGAGGTTTGTTTAAATTCAACCATTTTTCATCGTTCTGATGTACTAATCTGATGTACTAAATGCATTTTCACTACTTTATAATAAGAAAATATAGAGTGTGTTATCATTTTATCTCGGGATCTAGTATGATTATAAAAATTTCTGGAGACCATTTTCGTATACAAAATATTACATTGCAGAAATGTATTGTTGGCAGTGAATTGAACTATAGTCAGTTGTATAATCAATTATGCGTCTGTAACAATGGCTAACGGCGTAGCAGCCGAATACAATTACGTTATTACAAAATCCAGACCTTAAACTTCTCTTTCTCTGCAACTTACTAAAACATGATTTGGTAAACCAATTTCCTCTCTTCGTTTTTTCAAAACGCAACACAATCCCCGCTCTCATTTGATCGAAGCTCACTACGTTTGTTGTCATATGCGACTACACATGTATAATCGGTATAATCGACCCATATGAAATGTGACTAGTAGATTGATGCACGTCAACGAAATTGAAATGCGGCAGTAAGGCTTACCTTGGTTTAATTCAATGAACTCTGCTGATTAACTCTGGATGGTAAAACTGATTCTTACTTCGCTCTTCAGAACTTGATGAGACTTTCGTCTTCTCTTTTGAAAAATTCCAAGGAGAGTTAAGTTGATGAATGGAGGACATATTAAAAACAATCAGGAAGTATGAGAGCGAACTTATATTTCGACGGTGATATTTGTAAATACTTAGTAATTAATCGTCCTTTTAAATTATAAATATT